CAACAATCTGAGCCAGAGACTTCATTCTAGGATGAAATATAACCTGTAAGAAATCTGCAGATTCTGACAAGGTAGTGGATTAGGACTGGTGGAAAAGAGAAAGACCCGCGGCCTGCTGGCACAGAACTGATGCACCTTTGCTAAGACACCATGCCTGCTCTTCAAACCACTCCCATAAATCCCTTCCACCTTCAGCCAGGAAAAAAGTAACCCAACAGATTTCCAGCTCTGGGCACGGCCGTGAAAGGGGTTATAGAGAAGACACAGGGGAGAGGAGCTAAGATTCCGAAGGCCTGGAGTTATTCATACTCTGTGGAAACTCGAGTTCAAGTCCCCTGCTTCTCGCCTCACTGCGCTCTGATAACTCAGCATAAAGAACTGTCGGCATCGTTGGGACAAAGTCAAGCTCCCTTGTAAGTAAGAAATGATTTTTTTTTAAGGAAATTACTTCAGACAGTATTTAGGAAATGACTTCTGGACCCAAGAAACTGTGAACAGTGGGGGAGTGCGGACAGTCTATGTACAGGGGAAATACCATGAGGAAACCTGTGGTATCATTAATATATACTGAAAAAGTAAATGACAGGAGCGGACGCAGGCCCTGCTGCGGCGGTGGAAGCTGGCTGTCCCGCAGGTGAGCGTTCAGGCCCCTCAGCCAAGCACGCAGCCTCGCCGGGGAGATGCACAGGAAGTTACGTCACCCCATTTGCGTAGGGGTACACCAGCACGGCGGTTCCCGTGACTTGACTCAGTGAGCACTCCTGCCATGAGCTACTCAGCCTAACCTTCCTAATAGTCATGAAGCTAGGAGTTGGCAATGTGTTATTCAGCGTTTGAGTATCGCAGGTTATCAGGGAATGAGAGATTCCTCCAGCGTTCTCTTCCATCTCAACATAAAGCAATCAAAATTCTATGCCTGTTTTTCTTTTCTTGCATGTGCGTATGTGTGCGTGTGTCTGTCTGTCTGTCTGTGTGTCTCCAGAACCAAGGTGTTGTTCCTTAGCTTTTCCCCTCAAGGCTGGCACTTTGCCACTGTGCCTTGTGTCACAGCTCCATTTCCATCCTTTTTCTGGTTAACTGGAGAAAGTTTCATGGACTCCTCTGCCTAGGCTATCTTCGAACCACAATCTTCAGATCTCCGCTTCCTGAGTGGCAAGGATTACGGGTGTGAGCTACTGGTACCTGGCTTGTTTCCTGTTTATTTAACGTTCTTATGTTTTGTTTAATGTTCTAGGGTTTTCAAACCATCTACCACCTGGTTCCCCAAGGAGTATTTTCATTGTCAAATGTTCAACTACTAAGAACTGAAAACAGAGATTCAGAGTCAGATGGGAGCTTCAAAGAAAGGGATCCTGCCTTGTTCCTGCTTGCCCTCTGGGGCATTTGGAGCATAGGGCCCCACAATTGGCTGGCCTTCTTGATGAACCAGTCAATGGCAGTGGCTTGTAGGTGTCGGGCTTGCCCTGACCAGAAGCTTCTAGATGGGGAAGAGTCCAAAGCTAGAGCCTGCTGGGAACCTGGGGCGTGCAGGCTGGGGTGTGCCCGTGTGACCTCCGCTATCTCTCTGGGGGACTCGGGCAAAGGGAAGCCTTCTTATCTGCACTCCGGGAAGGAGCAGGCCAATGTACTGGGGATCGTAGCGAGCCCATCCCTCCGGCCAGAGTTCAAGCCTGGACCGCCTCACTCCTGGTAGGGGCTTCGTTTGCTTAGCTCCTGAATGGCGAGCCCAGCTTGCCTAAGTTAATCTCATGGTTCTTTCAAAATAACTGAAAAAGAAAATGATAGGATCCCAAAACACTCTGAGGTACAGAAGGAGAGAGAGGGGATCTTCCCGGGCTCTGGAGGCTCCTGGCTGCCGGACCAGAGCTCTCACCGCCATGTGCATTTGTAACTGGGACACAGGGCGTGGCCTCAGCCCCATCTGTCTGGTAACCTCTAGCCAGCTGTTGGCTTGCACAAAGATGAACTTTATGGCTGATGGAGTGAGTTAATGACTGTGGCTTTTGAACTTGTGGTTCCTGGTAGAATATGCAATAATAACAATAACAATAATAATAAATTACATCATGCTCATTACCCCATTATCTTGCTTGCCTTTGAAGAAATCTTCCTTCAGAGATAATGCAGAATAAAATATGATAGAATGAAGGGGCTGGGCCAGGTGCTGGGGGTTCATGCCCATAATCCTCGCTACTTAGGAGGCTGAGATCTGAGGATTATGGTTTGCAGTCAGCCTGGGCAACTCTTACCTCCAGTGAGCCACCAGAAAATGGGAAGTGAAGCTGTGGCTCAGAGTGGTAGAGTGCTAGTCTTGAGCACAAAAGCTCAGGGAATGTGAACAAGTGACCAGGCCCTGAGTTCAAGCCCATAATTGACAAAAAAAAAAAAAAAGGAGGGGCCAGGACTGAGGCTCTGTGTACACCGCATGTTCATCATGTACAAAGCCCTGCACTCGATCCCCAGCACCAGCCTTGCACAAAACAAACAAAAATGCACAGATTTACGCTAATAGATTTACTTACAGTAATAGATAATGGAGAGAGTCTTAAGCACCCTACAAAAAGTTACCGTTCTATTTTATTCAGACTTGTGTGTTTTTGTCACCTGTGAAAATGATCAGAATTCCAAGTGTGAGAGGTGAATGTCTCAAAGATGTGCGAATTTTACCTCTTTTATTTTTCCTTTCTTGAGAAAAGTGGTGTCTTTTTTTGCTTTGATGTTTTGATAGGAGGGCTTTTCCCCTTAAGGTTGCAGCTCTACCATTTGGGCCAGAGCTCTGCTTTCAGCTCTTTGGTGGTTAATTGGAGATGAGAGTCTCATACACCTTCCTACTGGGGCTGACTTCGAATCAAGATCCTCAGATCTCCTCCTCCTGAGGAGCTAGGATGACATGCAGCACTCAGGGAAGAAAGCAATTACCACTGCCCTTAAAGGTGTTGTTACATAAATGCATTTGATGGGTGAACATTTGCTTTGGAAAGTATTCTTCGTTCCAACAGAACATTGTTGTGTCTGCCCTAACGTGAGGAGAGCTACCTTGCACTGACCCGAGGGTTGGGGTCAGCGCTTACCTCCTCTGACCCATGGGCTCAGTGTAACCATTTTCAGATGGGAAATAGTTCCAGAAGCTAAATGTCGCCTAGCTGGGCTCAGAGAGGTGGGCAGCAATCAGGGCCAGGGAAGACAGCAGCAGGTGGGAGCCAGTGGCTCCCATCAGTCATCCCGACTGGTCAGAAGCCTGAGAGCGTGAGGAACGCAGGTGGAGGCCAGCCCAGGCAGAAAAGTCCACCAGACCCCTTCTCAACAAGCTGCTGGAAATGGTGGAGTGTGTGTCCATCCCCCCAGCCACCACAGGAAGCCTAAAACAGGCAGGGTATGGTATGTGCCCAGAGAGGAAGGAAGACCCTATCTCAAAAAATATCCAGTGCAGAAAGGGCCAGTGGCGTGGCTCAGTGGTAGAGCATCTACTAAGCAAGCATGAGTTCCCAGTTCAAAACTCCTGTCGTGCCAAAACAATTCAAAACGGCAGTCGGGGGAAAGGCAGCCCAGGCTGGCCTACCTGGGCACAGCGCCGGGAACAGAGCGAATCCCCTGCATTGCCATGGGGGGAGGGGCATGGCCAGTGCACAGCCCCAGGGCCCAGCCCCCACGGCTGCAGTGCCCACTCTGGAGGTCACAGAAAGTCATGGAGCCGGGTGAGCCGGGTGCCGGTAGCTCACACCTGTAACCCTAGGAAGCTGAGTTCTAAGGATTGCAGGTCAAAGCCAGCCTGGATAGAAATATCTGTGAGACTCTTATTTCCAGTTAACCAGCAAAAACAGTGAATGTGGAGCTGTGGCTTATGTGGAGCTGTGGCTCAAGTGTAGAGCACTAGCATTGATCCAAAAAAGCCAAGCTAAGGCACCCAGTTCAAGTCCCAGCACTGGCACGCGCATCCATACACACACACATACACACGCGCGCGCACACACACACATACACGCGCGCGCGCGTGCACACACACACACACACACCAACACAGGAAAGACACCATGCTACCCTGTCGCCTGTGGAGAGTAACTGACCGCTTGTCTGCTCATTCATGTCCAGCCCTGTCTGCAAGCCGCCTTCTCAGGTCTCCCAAACCCCACTAACAACAGATCATACAACGCCCACACTTGCTGCGTGCTCTGCTCCCTTCTCCCTGGCCCCTCAGCCTGGCCCATGGCCTCCCGGCCCCCTTGGCTGGGCCCTGTGAACCTGCCAGCTCGCTGCAGCCCTTCCTGTTCTTTTTGCTGGCACATGCTCCCCAGGCCTTTGCACAGGCCGCTCCGTTCCCAAGGCCCCTGCCCTCCCCTGGTCCACAGGCCTTCCTGCAGGCTCCTCCCTCCGCCCTCCAGCACGGGTTTGACGGGTGGCCCCACTGGTTGGGGGCTCTGGGTTTCTGTCTCTGGCTGGGTCTCAACACCCCCATGTCAGTGGTGTGTACAGTCAGCCAGGAGCACACGGCCCCAGCCCGACCACTCTGGCTTCTCCCTCATGGTGTTGTTTAGAGATTCTTTGGGATTTCTTTTTTTAGTGTGCATCTCAAGAGTTAAGCCTACAAAAGATAGTCAACCCCATTAGCTCTTACATGGGAAGTGCAGGAGCATCTTCAACCCAAATGCAGCTGTCAGTGGGATGCTGGTGGCTCACACCTATGATCTAGCTCCTCAGGAGGCTGAGATCTGAGGATCGTGGTTTGAAGCCAGCTCGGACAGGAAAGTCTCTGAGACTCTTTATTTCCAGTTAACCACTAAAAGCCAGAAGTGGTGGAATGCCAGCCTTGAGTGAAAAAGCTAAGGGTCAGCACCAAGCCCTGAGTTCAAGCTTCTGTTCAGGTACATGTGTGTGCACCCATGTGCACATGCTCTCTCACACACACACACACACATACGCACACACACAAGGATGCTTTCATTTAAGAACACGAATGAGCGCTCTTGCCTGTCTGTTCACACATGGTGTCTCTCCCTCCACAGAGGACCGGCTCCATCGGCATCATGGTGGACACAGAAAGCCTGATCTGCCCTCTCTCTCCGCTGGAGACAGAGGACCTAGAAAGCCCATTGTCTGAGGAGTTCCTACAAGAGATGGGAAGCATTCAAGAGATATCGCAGTCTATTGGTGAAGAAAGTTCTGGAAGCTTCAGTTTCACAGATTACCAGTATTTAGGAAGCGGTCCAAGCTCAGATGGCTCTGTCATCACAGGTAAGGGCCACTTCCTGGAAAGCCCTCCACTAACAGGGTTGTCCTTGAGAAAGCAAGAAGTTACACCTTTAAAAAAATAAGGAAGGTGGCTCAGTGGTAGAGTGCTCGCCTCACATGCATGAGGCCCTGGGTTAGAGTCCTCAGCACCACATAAGCAGAAAAAGCCAAAAGTGATTCTGTGGCTCAAGTGGTAGAGCGCTAGCCTTGAGCTGAAGGGCTGAGGGACAGCGCCCAGGCCCAGAGTTTAGGCCACACTACTGACAACAACAACAAATAATAATCTAATGTAGCCAGGGGCTTGTGGCTCATGCCTGTAATCCGAGTTACTCAGGAGGCTGAGATCTGAGGATATCAGTTTGAAGTGAGCCTGGAAAGGCTATGAAACTCATCTTCAATTAACCAACAATAAAACATTTCTGGAAGTGGAGGTGTGGCTGAAGTGGTAAAGTACCAGCCTTGATCAAAAAGCTAAGGAACCGCAGCCAGGTCCTGATACTGGCACAAGCCCTAATACTGGCACAAGTACAAATATAGTCATCTGGTGTGTGCACACACATATGCACACACCTGTGAAACCATCATCACACTCAAGAGTGTCCATCAGTCCAGAAGTTACATGTATCTTTGGTAAACCTTCTTCCTGCCCTCAGCTACCCTGTCTCCCCCATAGCCACAAGTCTGCTTTCTGTCCCTCCTGCTTACTGTATTTTCTCTAGGACTTTATATTAATGTAAGCTTGTGTTCTAGCTGGTCTCTTTTATTTGGCTGAGATCTGTGTGCTCAGTGGCACACCTCGGTAATCCACTCAGTTATTACGGTCTGGGTGGACCATTGGTATTTGATTTCTTCTCTTTTCTCTTTGTGTCCCAGACTGGGGCCCAGACTTGATACCTGATGTTTTTGCTCATTGGCTAGAGCTCTACCAAATGAGCCACACCTCCAACCCCAAGGGTTGAATATTTCTTTCTTCTTTTAGACTACTGGTGTCTTAGGAAGGCGCCTGTTAACGAACACTGGAGTCACTGCCAGTCTTTGGCTGTGACAGGTAGAGCCTCGGGAAACTCACACACATGGGTCTCTGTAGGAACACCCGCCCTGGTTTCTCTTGCACAGAAACACATTTTAACCTTTCATCATCTATGGCTACACACAGAGAACTAAAATGGATTTTAGACAATAATCTAGTATCTTGCCTGTGCCCTTTCAAGTCACTAATTCATGTAGTAGCTTTGTAGAGATTCTTTGAGAATTTATATAATCAGATTGCTTACTGCAGGGACCCTCTTTTACTTCTTTTCAAGATACATGTCTTTTTTTTTTAAGTTGCTTTTTGTTTGGCTTGGTTTTTTAAATACTTAGGCCCTCAAGCTCACCTGACTTGCTTGTCAACTGGTATTCTAACACAGGAGCCACACCTCTGGCTCTGCTTTGTGCTATTTTGGAGGTGGAGTCTCACAGATTTTTCTGTCCAGGCTTTTTTTAAAATTTTAATTCAGGCATTGATGTTTGATTTTAAGAAATACTTTTTAATGCATCTAATAAGGTGATCTAAATATTTTGCATTTTTAATTTGGTAATATCATGGATGATAGCTTATGAAGATTAAGCCAACCTTGCATTCCCATGAAAAATGTTTCTTGATCACTCTCATATACCACTTGAACCATGTATCCAGCTCTGCTTTTTGCTAGTTATTTTGGAGATAGAGTCTCTTGGACTTTTCTTTCCATCTGGTTTTGATCTACTACCTTCCAGATCTCAGCCTCTCAAGTAGCTAGGATTACAGACATGAGGCACTGGGATACAACTTGTATTTGTATTCAGTTCAAAATACTTCATAACTTATCTTTTGATTTTTAATCTGTGAGTTAAAATTCATTTTTGACTTTCCAAATATTTGAGGATTTCACAGCTACATTTATGTTGCTGACTTATCACTTAGTTCTGTGGATTCCAGAGACGTTCTTCCTGGACTGATATCTCAGCTTTAGGAAGAATTCATTGCTGTCTGCGGGCCAGGAATAGGGTCTGTCTTAGTATATGCCACAGGCAGAATGTGTCAATAGGTGCTGGGCAGTGTTCTGTGGATGTTAATTAGATCAAGTTGGTAATTACCATGCTTCAAGTCATTCATATCCTTTGTGTTCCATCAACTTGCTCTGTCAGCTATTGGAGGAAGTGCTAACATCTCTCATCTGTCTGCCTGGGCTGGCTTTGAGCCTCGATCCTCAGATCTCAGCCTTGTATGCAGCAAGGATTACAGGTGTGGGCCTGCAGTATTTGTCTTGCCTTTTCTTATTCTTACAGAAAGTTTGTATTTTTTGTTATTTTCTTTTCTTCCTCTATGGACAATGCTTTGGATGTTGCCTGAATCTTTCCAGCTTTGGAGATGCAGTCTCAGTATGTAGTCCAGGTTGTCCTCATAGTCACAGTCCTCCCACCTTAGCCTCCCCAGAGCTAGAAGTACAGGTGTGCACTACCACCCCTGGCCTGTGTTCTGGTACCATTCCCTGAGTTAACAGTTGCAGAAGACCTGGAAGCAAGCAAGCAAACAAAACAGCAGAGTTCTGTGTAGGGTGGAACATGGTGAGGGTCTAGTAAGACAGGCTCTGTGCAGAACCAGAACTCAGGACACTGGCCAGCGGGTGTAAACAGGGGCCTGGGAGCTGAGGGATCCCAGCATCATGGCAGTCAGGGCACAAGAGAGCCTGATTAGGGAGAGGAGATGCAAGACAGGTCCTGCTCGTGAGCAGACGCTCTCCCCCCATCATCTCCTTAAAGGTTGGTTCAGACATAGGCAGGGCACCTGGGATTGTCCATGTTCTCTTCTTCTGCCCATAGACACCCTCTCCCCAGCTTCCAGTCCCTCGTCAGTCTCCTGCCCTGCCGTGCCTGGCAGCACGGATGAGCCCCCGAGTGGAGCGCTGAACATCGAGTGTCGGATCTGTGGAGACAAGGCCTCGGGCTACCACTATGGAGTCCACGCGTGTGAAGGCTGCAAGGTGTGGGGCCCCTGGGGGAGGGGCCCGCTGCGCCGGGCGCTGGGGTCTGACTCCAGGGTGGCTGCCGTCACGAGGTCTCTGCAGAAGGGCCCAGAAACCGACCTCTGTCTGTGCCGGCTAACTCCTCTCTCTCTCTCTCTCTCTGGAGTCTGAGGCAGATCACTCTGCTGTATGTTGTAAGCGACTGATAGAAATGTGTCCTTTAAAAGAAAATCAAGGGGGGCTAGGAAGGTGGCTCAGTGGTAGAGTGCTTGCCTTGCATGCATGAGAGGCCCTGGGTTTGAGTCCCCAGCACCACATAAGCAGAAAAAAAAGCCAGAAGTGGCGCTGTGGCTCAAGTGGTAGAGCGCTAGCCTTGAGCTGAAGAGCTGAGGGACAGCGCCCATGCCCAGAGTTCAGGCCCCACAACTGGCAAAAAAAAAAAAAAAAGGAAATCAAGGATGGGGGCATGGCTCCGGTGGTAGAGCACCAGCCATAAGCACGCAAGCAGAGTGAGTGTAAGTCCTTCCCACCTCCCGCCACACGCACACATCAGCAAGAACTAAAAAGGAAAAGACCCAAAGTCAACATAAACTCTTTTTTTTCTGTGCCAGTATTGGATCTTGAACTCAGGGCCTGGGTGCTGACCCTTAGCTTTTTCTACTCAGGGCTGGCACTCTTCCACTTGAGCCACAGCTCCACCACTGGCTTTCCTTTAACAGTTTATTGGAGATCAGAGTCTCACAGACTTTTCTACCTGGACTGGCTTCAAACTGTGATCCTCAGCTCTCAGCCTCCTGAGTGTCTAGAATGACAGGCGTGGGCCACCAGCTCATCATCTCAAGTTTTCTTTTTTTTTTTTTTTTTTTTTTCGGTCATGGGGCTTGAACTCTGAGCCTGGGCGCTGTCCTTGTGCTCTTCAGCTCAAGGTGAGCACTCTACCGCTTAAGCCACAGCTCCACTTCCAGTTTTCTAGTGGTTTTTATTGGAGATAAGTCTCATGGACTTTCCTGCCCGAGCTGGCTTTGAACCACAATCCTCAGAACTCAGCCTCCTGAGTAGCTAGGATTACAGGCGTGAGCCGCCAGCACCCGGCAAGACCGCCACTCTCTAAATGTAGTTAATTGAAGAAGAAACAACTAATGGGCCCAAGAAAGCTGAAGTCAACTGTTAGGAGGATCACTGGTGTCCATGTCCCTCATAAATGGTGCTAATCTCCCAGGGCTTCTTTCGGCGAACCATCCGGCTGAAGCTGGTGTATGACAGGTGTGACCGCAGCTGCAAGATTCAGAAGAAGAATCGAAATAAGTGCCAGTACTGCCGCTTCCACAAGTGCCTGTCTGTCGGGATGTCACACAATGGTAGGTAAGGCTGCCCGGCATGGCGTCCTGCTCCGTTCCTCAGTTTACCTTCCTTGTTCAGCCACATTTAAGCCAGAGGTCCTCTTCTGACCAGAAAAGCCAAGGAACCCATAGCTGGGCCACCGTTGGGCTGTGGTTAGAAGCCTCATAGTAACACTTTTCTGTCAGAGGTCCCAGCCCCCCAGGCCCAGAAGCTCATGTCCTAACCACTCAGAAGGCTGAGATCTGAGGTTGAGGCCAGCCTATCTGCAATTAACCAGCTAAAAAATCAAATGGCGGCTGGACACCAGCAGCTCGCACCTGTAATCCTAGCTACTCAGGAGGCTGGGGTCTGAGGATCGCAGTTTGAATCCAGCCCAGGCTAAAAAGCCAGGTAACCTCCAATAAACTGCCGAAGGAAAGCCAGCAGAGGTGCTATGGCTCAAGTGGTAGAGCGCTAGCCTTGAGCATAAAAAGCCCAGGGATAGCACCCAGGCCCAGGCTGGGCACAAAACAACAACAGAACAAGGTAACCAGCCCATTGGATGGCAGGAGACCATGTTTGAACGGTGTGGTATCTCAAACATTTGCCATCCTATGAGTTACCTTGTATTCAGCCAAGCCCCTTCCTGCATAGAGGTAAACCTAAAATGAGTGCTTTATTGAGAAGGGGTGGGAAAAGAAAACCAGCATTACCATACAGTGCATACACCGGCCATCCCGAAGTTCCCGGGGCCCCTTCAGCTCCCAGGCCTGCAGCTCCCCCATGGCCGGTGTGCGGCCCTGTGAGCTCTTACTTTCGCCTGCTAGAGAAGGCTTGTATTGCTTGCGATGGGGTTTTCCTCTTCTCCCTCAGGAGCAGGGTGCTGAGTGCTGAGTCCTGTGGGACTTCCTTGCAGTCCCAGGGCCTCCCTCCACCTTGCTCATCGCTGTGTCTCCACTGCCCCCACCTCGCTCCTCCCCAACAGCAATTCGTTTCGGGCGAATGCCGAGATCTGAGAAAGCAAAGCTGAAGGCAGAAATCCTTACCTGCGAGCATGACGCGGAAGGGTCGGAGGCCGCGGATCTCAAGTCTCTCGCCAAGAGGATCTATGAGGCCTACTTGAAGAACTTCAACATGAACAAGGTCAAAGCCCGCGTCATCCTGGCCGGGAAGACCAACAACAACCCGGTAGGTCCTCCGCTGCCCCCTGGTGCGGGGAGAGCAGCACTTACCCCAAAGGGAACCCCAGACCACGGACACACAAATGGCCCCCCCTAACCATGTACGACGTTGCTTAAGCGCAAATCCTATTTTCCTCTTGAGCTGGCCTCTGAGCTCCTAGCAACCAAGTTATAATGGCAATGTAATCGATATCCCAAAATAACCTGGTTAATACCTTACCAGGTACCAGGGTGTTTCTCTGAAGTGCCTTTCTTTCAATGTCTATTTTAAGGATGTAAAATAAAACCATTCACATCACACACACGCACACACGGGCTCACGCACACACACACACACACACTCGCACGTGCACACACACACACACCTTTCCTCCCACACCTGCTTCCCTTCCGCCCTCCCGGGGGACCCACCGCCTGCCCTCTCCATCAGGAAGAGTGCCTGTGACGCAGACCTTGAGAGGGCCCTTGGCTTACAGAAACTTCATCATCTCTTCGGATAGTTCTGGACCTTTCCAGAGGGCCCCAGAGCCCTCCCCTCTCATCACCTGCCTGGCTTATGCCCACAGCCCCCACCCGCAGTTTCCCCCCTGACGCCATTGCAGGAGGGGGTCAGGGTCACCTTCAAAGAGACGCCGGCCCCAGATTGCTGCGTGAGGACCATCCCGGGAGCGTGGTGCGGCAGGTTTAATTGGTGCTAATGACTAGCTCCCAGCATTCCATATATGGGAATTAAAAGCTGGAATTTGTAGTCACAGGAAAAGAAAGGCTTTCACAAGCTGCTTATGCTTGTGAACAAACCAAACCCTTCTTTTATGGAGCCTTAATTCTTCAGCGAATGCTCCAACTAAATAGGCCATGACGTTTTAGAAATTTTAGCAAGTACCATGCGTGGTGGCCCAACGGTGCAGTTAGAGCCTTTCTGGATCCCAGGGGTGAGGGAAGGTGACATCTTGACTTTGCATGCATGGTGGCCCGAGGGCGCATGCCAGTTGGCGCCTTTCTGGATCCCAGGGGATGAGTGAAGGTAACATCTTGACTTGCCACTTTGCCTTTCTGTACTGGCAGTAACTAGCCCACAACTTCAACTTGAGACCTTAAATCTCCCCCTTGAACTTTGAGAATTCCAAGCACTGAAGGGTCACCTTTAATCCTAACGAAACACTGCTCTTTGATACTCATTTGATTCCCTAAGTGGGTTTTTTCCCCTTGCATCTCTATTAAGAGCCACAGAACTCTTGGGGAGGAGGAGCCTGCTGTTCCTTGAGACCCTCCCCCTTTCCCCCCCCTTCCCTCCTCCTCCCCCGTGAGGACAGGACATGTATCAGGAAAACAGAATGGCTGCGTGGTGAGATTCAAGGGCCTGCTCTGCCACACACCACCAAACAGGGCTACTCGGGGACAGCCTCAGGGGCAGAGTCCCATGGGGAGACCCACCCCCCTTCCTCCCGCCCAGCTGCCGCCGCTGGCCTGCTTCCCAGAATTCACTGCTTCAAGGAGAGGCCCATCTCTCCTCTTCCATCTGTGTCCAGCCTGGGCAAGGCCCCACTGACAGGGCAGCCCCATAAGCCATGCTGTCCAAGCCGCTGCCGTGAACGCCAGAAGACTGTGTGTGTGTGTCTTACATGACGTAGGAGGCTGAGATCTGAGGATCGCAGTTCACAGCCAGTCCAGGCAGGAAAGTCCATGAGACTCTTAGCTCCAGTGACCCAGCAAAATAGCTAGAAGTAGGGCTGTGGCTCAAGTGGTAGAGTGCTAGCTATGGGCAGATGCTAAGCAAGAGTACAAGGCCCTGACTTCACTGAAAAAAGCCCCCCCCAAAGCCTATTATTAGGGAGAGCAGAGCGGGCTTCAGCCTGAGTAGTGCAATATTCGGTGCTCAGTGACTCACACCAGGGCCCAGCCCCAGCTGGGCACCAGCAGGACGTCAGAGGCTGGTGGGGGAGGGAAGAAGAATCAAAAACGCGTGTAGGTCAGTGAGTGGAGGAATCTGCATGAGCATGGTGAGCATGGCCTTGGGAGCCAGGCGGGCAAGGGGACCCGGCCGCCTTCCTGACAGGGCAGGAGTTGGCGCCAAGCTCCAACCGGAACTTTGGCCTAAGTCAGAAGACAGGCAGGGCTGGGACACAGAGGCAATCCTTGAAGAAAACCCTTCCTAAGTCCTCGACACCCAATTAGTTTTGTCCAGCTCCGAGTTGCACATGCTAGCTCTGTTTAGACACCTCCAGGTGCATGTGTGCGCGCTGCAGGGGGGTTTGTGCTGGCTCCTGGAGATGCTGTTGACCATCCACAATGCACAGGACATCCAGCATGCTTTGCCACTGACAGATGAGTCTTAGAATGGTTGCCAGGAAGAATCAGAAATAAAACCTCCTAGATCACAGTTCAAAGCCAGCCAGGCCAGGAAAATCCATGAGACTCTTCAGTTAACCAGCAAAAAGCTGGAATTGGAGTTGTGGCTCAAGGGGTAGAACACTAGCCTTGAGCAAAAAAAAGCTCAGGGATGGTACCCAGACCACAAAACTGCCACCAAAGAAAAAGAAGAGAAAAAGAAATAATACCTGGCCATCCCTCATTGAGCTGAGTGTACGTACGTGTGCGTGATGTGCACATGGTGTGCCGGGGCGTGCATGTATGCACAGGGTGCCTGTGTGCATAGACCCCATGTGAACCAGGCAGGGCTGCGGGTTCCCCCTTTCCTCTGCTTGCCTGTGGGTGAGAATCCTGAATTCTCACCAGCTCTCCTCAGTCACAGCAGACCCGTGTCCCTCTGGGACCACCATGTCTTCTAGATTTTTGGGGGGAGGGGGGTCTGGTCATGAGGCCTGAACTCTGGGCCTGGGCGCTGTCCCTCAGCTCTTCAGCTCAAGGCTAGCGCTCTACCACTTGAGCCACAGCGCCATTTCCACCTTTTTTCTTTTTGCTTATGTGGTGCTGGGGAATTGAACCCAGGGCCTCAGGCATGCAAGGCAAGCGCTCTACCACTGAGCCACCTTCCCAGCCCCATAGATTTTTTTTTATTAATACTTGATTTTTCATTTTCATTTTTTATTTTTTGTCAGTTGTGGGGTTTGAACTTTGGGCTTTGGCGCTGTCCCTCAGCTCTTCAGCTCAAGGCAAGCGCTCTACCACTTGAGCCACAGTGCCACTTCCAGTTTTCTGGTGGTTTATTGGAGATAAGAGTCTCACAGACTTTCCTGCCAGGGCTGGATTTGAATCACAATCCTTAGCTCTCAGCCTCCTGTGTTGCTAGGATTACAGATGTGAACCACCCATACCTGGCTTTGGATATTTTTAAATTTACATATTCAATGTGCAGAATGTAAACCAACCAAATCAGAGTATGAGCATTTCCATCTTCTTAAACATTAATGTTTTTGTGTGAAGTGTTCTAATTGCTCCCTTCGTGTGTGTGTGTGTGTGTGTGTGTGTGTGTGTGTGTGTGTGTGTGCGCACACGCGCGTGCTTTACCACTTGAGCTACAGCTCCACTTCTGGCTTTTTTGGTGGTTAACTGGAGATTTCTCTGCCCAAGCTGGCTTTGAACCTCAGTCCTCAGATCTCAGCCTCTTGAGTATCTAGGATTACAGGCATGAGCACCATTCTCCTGGTTTGTCAGTCTTTACCTTACTGTCCTATCCCGTGAGCTCTCCACAGTGAGCACTGTATTCGGTATACATTTGAATTCTCTACAGCATGAACTTGGGGGTTTGGACACAGTAGCTGTTTGTGAATCTGTAGGTAATGGAGATATCAGAGTGCTCTGCCCCAGGCTGACTTGAGCCCCTTTCTTTGTAGCCATTTGTCATCCACGACATGGAGACCTTGTGTATGGCCGAGAAGACACTAGTGGCCAAGATGTTGGCCGACGGCATTCAAAACAAGGAGGTCGGCGTCCGCATCTTCCACTGCTGTCAGTGCATGTCGGTGGAGACAGTCACGGAGCTCACAGAATTCGCCAAGGCCATCCCAGGTTTTGCAAACTTGGACCTGAATGACCAAGTCACATTGCTCAAATACGGCGTGTACGAGGCCATATTTACCATGCTATCTTCTCTGATGAACAAGGACGGGATGCTGGTGGCATACGGCAACGGCTTTATAACTCGGGAATTCCTGAAAACCCTCAGGAAACCTTTCTGCGACATCCTGGAGCCCAAGTTTGACTTTGCCATGAAGTTCAACGCACTGGAACTGGATGACAGTGATATCTCCCTGTTTGTGGCTGCTATAATCTGCTGTGGAGGTAAGTGCTTGATTTAATGTGCCGGTGTCAGGTCTCCTACAGGCTCCGCTCTTGAAGAACTCGTAACTCGCAACGGTGCCAGCCTGGGCTCCGTTACAGTCAAGTAGGCACTGGTAGGTAAGGAGACAGCTGAACCTGGGTTGCCACAGGGTAGAATTATGTGAGAATTGCTTTCATATTGTATAGCAGAATGTATGTTGTTAATGTATATGTAAACACGTGTACATTATGTATATATTTACAATTGCTACTCAAACTCCATTTCTATTACATCTAATAGTAGATGAACTAGTGTTACCAATATAGAATTAGTATTAGAATAATTATAATACATTGTAATTAGCATTGCAATTAGTATTATATATTAGTATTACTATATAGTAATTATGAGAATTATATTGTACTATATGTACTATATCATAGTACATAACTGTGTAGTATATCATAGTACATAACTATGTACTATATTATATTCTAATTTCAACATATTATAGTCTCATACTATTAATATTATTATATCATATCTACTCTTCCGATAGGATGTCATAAAGTACCATACTAGTGTTAGCATAATACCACCACTGCTGGCTATAATTATTCTAAATCAGAATGAAAAATATTGGCCCCTCTGGAAGCAATCCTAAGATTCACTCTGCCAGAGGAGACAGAGCCGGGCCTCTCTGCTCACGCTGGCTCTGTTCCCTAGAACTCTGGCTCAGCGTTGCGTTTCCTTAAATAGCCACCTCAGGTCCAGGAAGGTCATTTGCCTACTGTAAGCTCAGCGTCCTTGCTGAGCCTTGGTGGAGACTTACGGTGGCCGTGCCCACCCCTACCAGAAGACACACTGTCCTCTGTGCCTCCCTCAGCCTGTGCTCTGTGTCCCTGTTTCCTACCATCTGGCTAGGCCCTAGTCAGACGGAAGAAGCCATCTCCAGCATAAAGTATGAGAGAGCAAGGCAGCAAATCATTTGTCATTGTCCTTTTCATAGGATCAAGACACAGCACAAAGGTTATAAAGCAAGCTCAGTGTGTTTCTGTGCCACAGAATCCTGTGTAAACTCTGTAGACAGAAAAATTGCCCGGTAGGGTAAAATTAGGAGTGAGGAGTTTCTAAATTTAAGAAAAATCTCTTTCAAACTTAGTACTAGCTGAGAACTGGTGGTTCTTGCCTGTAATCCCAGCTACTCAGGAAGCTACGATCTGAGGGTCGCAGTTCGAAGCCTGCTTGGGCAGAAGAGTCCATGAGACTCTTATCTCCAGTTAGCAAAAAGCCAGAGGGTCGTATGTCTCAAGTGGTAGAGCTCCAGCTTTAAGTGTGAAAGCCAAGCAAGAGCCTGAGGCCCTGAGCTCAAGCCACAGCACCAGCCCCAAAACACCACCACCTTAGTGCTTATGTATTTCACAACCAGCAACAATGCAGATAGAACTCAGATCACGGCAACACGTGAAAGTCACAGCAATGGCTAGGGTGCTGGAGGGAGCATGCTGCCAGCTGTGGGGCGGGGGACGGGGCAGAAGGTTTGGGGCCGAGAACCAGGACTCACAGCCTGAGAGGGTTTCAGGACGCCCCAGGCGGGAAGCGGCTCCTCTGCCGCCCTCCCCACTCGGTCCAGCCAGGGCGCGCCCCAGGCCACTCCTTCCCACGACAGAAGGGACCTGCCATTGTGGCAGGAGCCACCCCCCAGTCTCACACAATCACGCTCCTTCACGCCCCACACTCAGCGGAGTCGTGGCCACGGCGTCAGAATGTGCGGCTACTCCTCGTGGTCCCGGGGTGGTCCCGGGGGAAGTCCACAATGAGAGGCCACGCTTAAGGGAGACTGAGGTGGTCCTGTGGCCTGGCTGTGCAAAGATGTAGCAAGGAATCAACCCTGGCTGTCCCACTCGGTCCTCATGCCAAACCTTGGTCTGTCTTGTAGACAGGCTGGCAGGGTCCAAAGGCTGCGGGCTGTCACGGGGAAAGCCGGGCAAAGCAGGGGAGATTTGCCTGGTGAGGCTGACCAGCCGTCTCGATCAGATGCCTCTCTCTTCTTTTGAGTCCAGATCGTCCTGGCCTTCTCAACATTGGCTACATTGAGAAGCTGCAGGAGGGAATTGTGCACGTGCTCAAGCTTCATTTGCAGAGCAACCATCCGGATGATACCTTTCTCTTCCCAAAACTGCTTCAAAAAATGGTGGACCTCCGGCAGCTGGTCACAGAGCATGCGCAGCTAGTGCAGGTCATCAAAAAGACTGAGTCTGAGGCCCCGCTGCACCCGCTGCTCCAGGAGATCTACAAGGACATGTACTGAGTTCTTCTAGAAGCACGGCCGCTGCCACCTCCCCAGGACTACAAAGTGAAATGGGAGCAGCACGGAGTTGCTCCACGTGACCACGTTAGCCTACAGATCAGGAGGACCGAGCAGGTACCGGAGGCCTCGCTGGCCGGCATAGTTCTGAGGGTGTAGGTGCTGTCTGGTGCCAGTGCTGGGAAAGTTAGGAACAGCGCCAATCCACGGCCTGATTTTGACTGGCCCGATGTTAATCAACACACAGTTCTTTATATCACATTTGCCACTTAATTAACAGGTAACCTCAAAGCAAGCACGTGGTCTCCCCCTTCTCATCCTCTGGCTGTTGTGCTCCTTAATAATTTGGAAAACTAATCAGCACTTTTTAACCTCCTTTATGATCCTTTAAACATAGATGTATCCAAAGGTTAGCTATATTTATAACAGAAAAAAAAAAAGATATTTATTTGGAAGGCTTTAGTAGTTTCCTGAATCTGTAGGAAGACAGTGTGCTTCTTTATTTTAATCATAGGACTGAGGATTTTCATTAACAGTTGGCTGAACTGTCAGAGTGTAGCCCACTGCTGTGGTGGCTGTAAGTAAATACACGGAAAAGGCCATTTCCTGGTTTGTGAGATCCCAGCGAACTCGATCTCAAGTTCCCTCTGTATGGTGAAGGCAGTATTTGGTGAGCACTGAGAAAAGGAGCCTTCTCCTCCATGGCCTCTTCAGTCCTCCCCCCTCCCTGCGGGCCCTGAGCAGAGCCCCTGGGACCGCTGGTGGCATGGCAAACTAACACATGCTCTGTAAATGTCACCAGGGCTCTTTTGGGCAGTTCCTTTGTCATTTGGGGAGTGGGGGCAGGAAGTACTGGGGTTCAAGCAGAGCCTGATTGCTGTCACTCAGCTGTTTCACTCAAGACTGATGTTCAGCCGCTTGAGCCACAGCTCCACTTATGGCTTTTTGCTGGTTAATTGGAGATAAGAGCCTGGACTGGCTTCAAATAGTCATTCTCAGATCTCAGCCTCCTGTGTAGCTAGGATTACAGGTGTAGCCCCTGGCTCCCAGCTTCTGTATCACTTTTTAAAATATGCTTAAAAAAAGGAAACAAAACAAAACCCTGTCCCCCAGGCGGAGTGGGGCTCGTCTCCTAGGGGCGGGAGAGGCGGTGCGATGTCCCTGCACTGGCAGCTTCTTTCTGTCCATGAAAGTCCAGACGGTTATGTCTCCTTATCTCAGTAGATATGTATGGCAGTTTTTTCAACATCTAAAATACTAGTTTTATACTTACACATCAACATCTGAACCTCGATGCAATGAAAGCAAGGCAGATTCTGGCTACTTGTCTAGAACCTGTACACTAGACCAGCTGCTGCATGGAGAGCTGTCCGCAGCCCCTGCTGCCAGTCCGGCACAGATCATGCCAGCTCTGTCCCCATGAGTCACAGGCTGTCTCAGAGGTCATTGTTGGCGGCTAAAGGTCAGGATTGGCACTGATAATGGTCCTGAGTCAGTACAAAGGACGGCAGCACTGGGAGACTTTGCACTGAAAACATAAAAATGAGGATTAGGACATCCTTTTTACAAACTGTACAATTCATGGCTAATTATTGTGTGTGTGGTAGCACTGGGATTTGAACTCAGGTAGACACTCTACCTACAAGCATGTTGTTCTTTTTAATAGGGTCTCAGGTTTAGGCCAGGCCATGGCCTGCAGTGTAATCCTCCTATTTACTTTTCCTCTACAGCTGGGATGATAGTTCTGTGCCACCACACTACGCATTTTTTTTTATGTGCCAGTCCTGGGGCTTGAACTCAGGGCTACTCAGTCTTGCTTGGCTTTTTCACTCAAGGCTGGCACTCTACCACTTGAGCCACACCTCTACTTCATCCAAACCTTTTTTATAAATTGGCTGAGATGAGGCCTCTTAAACTTTTTTCCTGGACTGGTCTTGAACTGTGATCCTCCCAGTCTGCTCAAAGGGTCTTCTGAGCAGCAGCAGCAGGCAAGTAGACAGTCTTCAGGAGTCGGAACAGAGCCAAGTATTTCCATATAGGATCCCAACAAGCATCCCCCTCATTCAGGAAGCTACCCTTTGCATCCCATAGTGCATCCATCTCTGTATTCCTTCCTCCAAAAAGAACGTGAACACTGAGGAGATCCAAGGCTGGGACTGGCCCAAGGCCTGGGGGCAGAGCTGGATTCCAAATCCACGTCTCTGGTGCCCCCCTGCCACACAGCTCCTCGCTCTGATGTGCTCTGGACAAGTTCAAATGCATGCGTGTGGCCTTGGAAAGTGGGCCTCCAGACCCGGGCTGCTGGGCAGCCATTCATCCTGTTTAAATTTCATAAATCTTGCACGGCGTAGCCTCCTTGCTTTTCAGCAGGAACAGCCAAGCTGGCTTCCAGGTTGTGCACCAGCCCACCAGCATTCACACGTGGTTCTCCCAGGGCCCAGGAGACACCCGGTGACCCCCTCGGCTTGAGAGCCACGTGGCCTCTTTCACGTCCACCCATGGGAAGGAAATTTGGCATCCCAGATAGCTAACCATCCAAGTCACTCATGGCCACTCAGTGCTAGAATATTCTGAGTCACTTAATCAAAGACTTTGCAGGGTAGCAATAACCCAGCACAGGCTGGTTACACCCCAGTGCCAAATGCTGAAGCATTTCAAATAGGAGCCATTCAAACAATTTTGCTGCTTGCTAAGTGTCAGCCGACAGCAAAACAACCCCCCCCCCACACACACACACAATATCACAACAGGTTGGTGGGCTTTTAGATTCCCCAGATGGGGTTCTAGGCCATATTCATGTGGGCCCTTCTGCCAGCAGTGACTTAACCAGCCAACTTAACCAGCTTCTGCTCAGCGGGCAGCAGCAGAAGTGCCAGACTCTCAGAGATGGCAAAATGACCGGGCAGCCTTGGTCTCTCATGCTGCCTACCGTGAAGGGACAGGAGTGGAGATTGGAGGTGGGCCTCTCCACCACTCACCAGGGCTCTGGCTGCATGGCCCTCCTCCTGTATCCTGGCATTTCCAACCAGGCATCCCGACCCTGGGTCCTGCACCCACCACACACGGGGAAGCTGCTGCCAACCAGAGCAGACCAAACTGCATCCCCACCAGCATGTATCTGCGTGGAGCAGCCGGTCTCTAGTACTTCCGTGGCCCCATCGTTAGCAAAAACATTGTTTGCAAAAACAAATGAGAAACATTGAGTTTTCGATCATACAAAATTAACACCAGGTAAATCTTGGTTGGTTTTGTTGTTCAAGTTTACCGATGTGGGTCAAACATTGAAAAGCTCCATGTTTCTCTCTACAGAAGGGACTCTACCATCTTCTCTTGCCTTTCTTTCCCCTGTACCCAGCCTCAAATTCTGTCATCTGAGGTAGAGGCCCAGCATCGTTGCTGGGGCACAAGCCAGCCCACCAACATCATTGCCTCTTAGAAGTACTGAGGCCAGGCCTGCAGGGGGCGCTCTTGGGCACCTTTTCAGGCCCCAAACGCTGCCTCAAATCTTACAAGGCCTAGCTTCAAGGCCTGAAGACCAGTGGGTAAACAGTCTTTTCCTGGCAAAGTTGTCACTTTCGTAGAGGGTTGTTTTTTTCTCTTCTTTTTTTAAAGGCACAGTCTTTTTTTTTTCAGGCCCAAGACGAAAGGTACCTCACAATAGATGGCTTCAGCTTTAGTACCCTTTCTGGTTAAAATGACAGTATTATTTGTGTTGGTACTACTGCATTTTTACACTAATGGAAAAAGTTACGTAAATAGCCATATCTTAAATACTGTGATTGGGTTTTGAGGTTTTGTTTTTTTTTTAAGACTCCTAATGCAAATAGTTGACTAATGCCTCTAATAACAAATATCTGGAATCTTGTAGGTCAGTGTTCATTGTTGAGGATGTAAAAAGGCTGGCTCTTGAGTCTGCTAGAGTCAAAGGAAGCGGAGATAAACTGAAATGTAACTGCCTGTGTGCATGCACAGTCCCAACTGGCCGTGTCTGTCTCCTGAGCCACACGCTACCTACTTCCAACGTGCTAATCCCCTCCCTCACCATACTTCCATGCCACAAGCACATCTGCCTTGCCTTATTTCTGCCCATGCCAGAGGCCACTGACTTCTACCACAGTGTTCTGATCAGGACTATGAACTATTCTTGTTTAGTTAGCAGCTCTTCAGTTAATATGCTCTTCAGGGAATTATCACCTATGGTCATTACCAAAGAACTTCTAGAATCGGAACTCTTTCTTTCTTTTTTTTTTTTGGTCGGTCATGGGGCTTGAACTCTGGGTTTGGGTGCTGTCCCTCAGCTCTTCAGCTCAAGGTGAGCACTCTACCACTTGAGCCACAGCACCACTTCCTAGAATCAGAACTCTTAGATGGAAAGTATTTGCACTTGCTGGTTCTCTGGCAGCTTCCCAATGGCCAGCACAAAGCATAAAGCAGACCACAGACCCCTGAGGCCCTCATCCCTCATTCCCAGTATTGTGCCAAATTTCTTCCTGACGAGTCTCTGTAACTTCCTCTGGGAACCAGTGTCATTATGCTAAAACCCTAGGGCTGACAGTCTTGACAGCCATGAGAACATGCAGGTCCCCAGAGCAAGGACTGGGCTTGGTTCCCCCAGCTCCTTCACTGTCTTTGGTGCCTTACTGTCTCAGAGCATGAGGGGGCTTTCAGTCCTTCATCGGTGAGCAGAGAAGTTCCCATCAGCATATGAGTCTATTCCAGTGTCTTTACAATCCTCCCAGTTCTGTCCAGGTATGGGGTGCCTAGGACCTTGCACAGAGGGCAAAGGTAATTTTTCTAGTTACATTAACTGATTGGTTCCCAGGCAATTAGAAAATGGCTTTGATATAACCTTAATTTTCTTTTTTAAATCTTGGATCTTCCTTTTCCTATTAGGAAGTTGGACTGGAGGTATTGATTTATATCCTGGATTTATGAGAATTTATGTGCCGGGAATGTCCACTGTAAGACTGATGAATGTAAAGAGTTAATTTCAGGGTACAGTTTTGCCTTAATGGTTTTAAAATAATAAAAACAAATAAACTATTTTTAGAAATTATGTGGTGAGTTTTGGGTAATGCTGACACAGACCTGCACCCCACTGCAGTCTGTGCTGGCCTGCCCTTGCCTAAGCAGGTCTCTCGTCGTTCTCTGGATAGAAAGGATGTGGGACAGCGTGGCCCTAAATGTGACATCCCTGCATCTAAGGTACAGGCAATAAGCCTTGGTTTTGTTTTGTGTGCCAGTACTGTGGTTTAAACTCAGGGCCCAGGCACTGTCCCTTAGCTTTTTCGCTCAAGGCTGGAGCTCTACCACTTGAGCCACAGCTCCACTTCTAGCTTTTTGCCAGTTAATTGAAGATCACAGTCTCACGGATTTTCCTGCATGGGCTGATTTCAATCCTTGATCCTTAGATCTCAGCCTACTGATGGGCTGTGATTATAGGGGTGAGCCACCAGCTGCCAGCTCAAATGTAGGTATCTTAAAAACTCCATACATTGTCAGAAGCAGCTCCTCATCCACCCCCCCCCCCAGTAACTACAAAGCAAAACGACACCTCCAGCGTCTGCCAACGCTCAGTGACACATGGTGACCTCACCCCTGGCACCCATGCTGCAGGGGCAGGGTGCCACAGGACACCCAGCAGGCTGCAGGCTGGGCTTCACAGCGGGAGAATCAGACGGCAAGGCAAGAGCTTGCAAGGGAGGAAGCCTCCGGGGTCCTGACCGGAGAGCAAGAGACGGAAGGGGCCTGACCTGAAGGCAGCCAGAAGAGCCAAAATGGCTGGACACCCTCCTCAGCTTCTAGGGCCTGCCTGCTGCCTGCCCAAGCCCTGCCCAGGCCACAGGGGGGCAGGGAATGCTGGGGTATGTACCCATGAAAGGATTCCCACACACAACTGGTTCTTTGGGGTTTTATTGATAAATGCAGTACGTGGTCAAGATGTAGAGCATTTCCCAGGCCTCAAATGCAGATTCTAATGAAAACTTCCGCCTCCAGTGCAGGCAATGGATGTGATGTCCTGGAGAGAGGACATGGCGGTGACAGGGCAGCCCGCCTCGGGCTGTGCTGCCCCAGCACGGCTGGCCTTGTAACTGAGCGAGGAAGAGGCTTTCCGTCCTGCAGGCCTTGCCCTGGGGGCAGCCCTGCCGCTCTGGCTGCACTCCCTGGCCTGACGTCTGTCTCTGGGTGTCCTCCAGTCCACCTGCAGCCTCCCAGGCTGGAGGCGGCGCTCTCAGAGCAGTGGGGAAGGCCAGCCCCAGGCCACATCCACAGTCAGGGCCGACTGCAGGGCTTCTTGGAGGCAGCTGTCCTTGTCTCCGTGTCTCGCTGGATTTCCTGCGGGAACGCGCCAACGTTCTTCCGGACACAGGGGAGGCAGAATCTCTTGGAGTAGAATAAGCTGCATTCCTGACAGGAGGAGGAAGGGCTGGCCCCTGGCTACATGGCGCTGACTCCGAGGGCCAGCCCTTCACCACACAGGGCTGGTGGCCAGACCAGCAGAGGAAGAAGGGCCCAGGGATGCTAAGAAATGGCCAGCGACCAGCTGGAAAGGAACCAAGGCTCTGGCCTGGCCTGGCCCACCATGAGAACAGAGACAGCCAAGCTCAGGCCCAGGCCACCCCCAAAATTGGAACTCCTAGGTCCTCCAAGTCCCACATATCACAGTGGGACAGGAGGGACAGCCCCACAGACCAAAGAAGCATGGACAAGTGGCCAGTGGGCAGCAGGCTAGAACTGTCCATCTGTTCCCGTTCTCTTCCCCAACATGGGGCTGACTGATACCCAGACTCCTTTGTGGTTGTGAACTGCCATGTGATTAAGTCTGATCAGGGGTCACTGCAGCTAGGTGTGCTACCTCTGGGCCACTTGTTTAAGAGGGCCAGGGATGTGCTCCCCTGTCCTTTCTAGCTGGCTGGGATGCAGATGGGATGGTGAGAGCTACAGCCAGAGCCCTGAAATACAGACTTACTTCACGGAGCAAAAGCAGGTATGGAGAAGCAAACATTAAGTGTGTCTGATTTAAGCCACTCTATTTCAGGGGCCTCTGTCTGGGAGCTTAAAGCATATGCCAACCAATACGAGGCTGCCCTTCCTGCAGTTCCTAGAAGCAAACCTTGGCACGCAGACTCCCCCCGACAGCCTGATGTTTGATCAGAGAAAGCATTTCTGTGGTCCGCGTGCCCAGCCACCGCAGACCAAACCCAAGCTGTTGCGTTCAGGGCTGCTCAGCTGCTGGCCTGGCCCTACCTTTCCTGTCCTGACTTCTTGGCTGCTTCCCTGGGTGCCTCAAATGTCCTCTTCCATCTTCCCTCCCCCTCTGCCCGTACCCCCCTCCCACCCCCCTTCCCCCCCCCAGCCATGTGCTTCATGCCCTGAGGCAGATAGACACTCAGACTCCGGGATCTAGCTCTGTTCCTCGCCACAGGCTGAGGCTCTCAACGGAGCCTGTCGCTGGTCCGGGTCTTGCGTCAGCCCTCACCATGGTGGCCCTCTCTAGTCTGGTGACAGGGGCTCCCAGACCCCCACCCCACCCCAGGACAGGCAGCCCACGCCACTGCCTTGTGTACCCACCGGGCCCACGCACACCAGCCTGCTACACACGCTGCACCGTGCCCCAAGCACCAAGAAGCGGCCCTTGTCCGTGGTGAAGGGGTCCTTCATGACATAGCTCTCCTCCAGGAGGCTGCGGGAAGGAAGGCCAGCGATGGACACCCACCATCACAGCAGGACATTCGGTTGGGGCTGTGTGGGAGGCCAGGGCATCTCTGGGGCCGGCACGTCTGTGGGACTCAGTGTGGGAGGGACAAGCCCACCTGAGCTGCAGGGTCGTGACAGACAGACCAGTACCGGGGATGAAGTGAGACTTGAATGGGGTCCTGGCCTTGGCTCAGTGTCAGCAAGGGATGAAGCTGGCCTTCAAGCCCTGGACCCACTTCCTCCCTCCTCCCCGCCCCCCCCCCCCCCCCCCCCGTCACTCCCTCCACCCCCACCCCCGCCCCCAGCCGCCACATCCCCAGCGATCACGTCCCCTCCCTGATATCGCGCCACCAGCACCAGTCAGCTTCCTCACGCGGTTTGGATGGAGACAAGCTGGGTGCGGGCACGCCCGGGCCAGCCCCACACCGGCTGCTCCTGCTCCAGCATCACTGGGCAGTCGGTCCTCAGGCCTCACTCCCACCTACAGGGACGGCAGCGGGGCCCAGGCCTACACGAGAGCACCACGCTCCTCTGCTCCCCGCTTGCTAGGCAGTGGCAGCCTAGGCCATGCTCTTCTACCCGCCAGGTGCCAACTCAGGCTGCCCAGAGGGAGGCACGGGGGTCCTAAGAGCCAGACAGCCCTCGAGCCCTGCCCAGGGTCTCCTCCAGTCTCTCAGAGCCCGGGCAGGGACAGGATTAGGCGTTATATACCCAACCACATGGCAGGTGCAGGCTGGGGCCTGCCAAACGGCTCTGGGCACTTGGGCCCTGTGCCTTCCCAGGCGCTGGCCCAGAGCATACTCACATGACAGACTGGGTGTCGGGGGGCTTCTGCCCCACATAGCTGTAGGGAGCCGTCAGGGCACAGAGCTGGCACTCAAACACGCCCAGTGGAGGGCGCTCCGCCTCAGATGCCATCTGCAGAGAAACAGGGTGCCTCACCTTCAGAATTTCGCAAAACTCAAGGCTGCAGGTGGTGCTGGGAAGGTGAGCCCTACTTTCTCAGATAAATCTAAGCCGCTCCCCAACTGATTAGAGAAAGAAACTCTTCCTTGATACACAAGGCCCACTGGGTGTGGGCACCACCTTTTCCCAGAGCATGCTGAATTGGAAGTGGTCCTAGGGGCTCGCTTCTCACTCAGCTGACCTGCCCTGGACACTTGACCTCCTGGCGTCTTCTCCTGCTGATTCTTCCACCCGGAAGGCTACCCTCACCTCTGCCCTTAAGAGTTCTCTCACCACCCGCAAGATCTTTTCCTTGGCTTCCAGAAGTGTAAATGTGTCTGTGACAGCTAGTTTTTTCTTCAAAGTAATTTGTCCTACATGGTGTCTATATATGCAGATAGCATAAGGAAGCTTACTGAGTTACTGAACAATAGGAACCAGAGGGAAGAGAAATAGATAAGGCTAATCTAATACCCAGATGAAAGCAAAACCCCCATGTACAATACACAAATTAATACGTCAAAGGAAAATAAAAACAGGCTGTTGGGTGGTAAGTACAAGAAGGTAGGAGGGTGATGCAGAGGGTAAGTGAGGGTGAATAAAGTTGAAGAACTTTATACCCACGTATGAACATCAAACAATGAAACCTGCTGAAACTGTTTTAAGGAGGAGGGAGGGAAAATGTGAGAAAGAGATGAAGGGGTTAGTTTGATCAAGGTCCACTCTATGTATGAAAATGTCACAATGAATCTCTACTGTAAAACAAATACATTAAGGGGCTGGGAAGGTGGCTCAGTGGTAGAGCGCTTGCCTTGCATGCATGAGGCCCTGGCTTCAATTCCTCAGCACCACATAAACAGAAAAAGCCGAAGTGGCGCTGTGGATCAAGTGGTAGAGCACCAGCCTTGAGCTGAAGAGCTGAGGGACAGTGTTCAGGCCCCACGACAGACAAAAAAAAATAAAATTATAACTGTGTATCACCTTTATAATAACAGTAAAACAAATTTTAAATAAAATTTATCCTGATGGTGCTTTTCTCAATCTTTCTCTTGTTATGTGGGGTTCTGGGGATTGAATCCCAGGCATGTACTCTACCACTGACCAACATCCACAGCCTCCAATTCTTTTTTTTTCTTTTTTTGTCAGTTGTGGGGCTTGAACTGGAGGCCTGGGTGCTGTCCCTGAGATCTTTTTGTTCCAGGCTAGTGCTTTACCGCTTTGAGCCACAGTGCCACTTCTGGTTTTCAATTCGTTAATTAGAGATAAGTTTCACAGACTTTCCTACCAAGCTAGCTTTGGTCCATGATCCTCAGATCTCAGCCTCCTGAGTAGCTATGATTACAGGCATGAGCCACCAGAGCCTGGCTTAAATTTTTTAATCTATGGTTTGATATTATTTTCATTATTTTTTGGAAAGTTTAACTATTCCTTCTTTCTTTCTTTCTGCTGAGATTCATTTGCAAATGCATTGTTGTACCACTTGATTTTGTTCCAGTTCTAGGACACTCTACTCTGGTGAATTCACTCTTCTGTGGTTCCACTTAGTTAATTTCTATAGAACTATCTTCACGTTCATTGATTTTTGCTGTTGCTATGTCACATTGACAGACCACGTTGTCCACTGCCATGTTATTGGCGTCCGTTTCTGCATAGTATGTATCTTTCACCAGAGGCTTGAGATATTCATCACGCTTCTTTCAAACTCCCCATCTGATCCCTGATTTCTGTTCTATTGATGTTGTAATCACAGTGGGTTTGCTTTTTTTGCATGTCTTGATTCATCACTGGGCTTCTCTGCAAGGTGGCAGAGGTAAGCCAGCATCTGTGGTCAGCACTGGCACAGGCCTGGTCTGCCATACTGAATTAGCAGTGGTGAGCGATAGACGCAGGTTTGGGACCTGCTTGCTAGTGTCACCCTCAGGGCAGCCCTGGCTTCTAAGTTCTCTAGCATTACCTCTGTTTAAGAGTGAGGTTTGTCCAGAGATTTTCTCAAAATCTGCTCCACCCTCAGCTTTAGGTCTAGGTGCAGCTGCTTGTCACACAGGGCCAGTTTCACAGTGTCCTAATGTCCCCGTCCAGCCCAGGCTTGGCAGGCCCCGAGGCCCCCGCACGTCAGGCCCTGCCAGGAATCTTGGGTACCAAGAAATCTTGGCTCCAGACAGGCTTCTCCCCCCTTCCCACAGGCTTGCCCCTTGCCCAAAGGGCACTTTTCACTACCCTAAATTTAGGCAGAGCTCTCCTGTTCCATTGGGAAGAAGGATCCAGATAGACCCCACCTGAGCCACAACCACCTCCTCCTCCAGGTTTTCACCACCAGGAAAACTTCCCCTCTGGCTCTGCCCTCTGTCCTTCCCACACCCTCCCCTTGGCCCATGTGGTGTATCTTGTGCACAGCATCACACTAAAACTCCTGCCTGCATCTGGTCTTCTGGGAGAACTCTCCCCAGACTGTGCGCCAAGGTCACATCGTCCCTTCTATTCATTGCTGGCCCAGTGGTGCCCTTCCCGAGCCTATCCAGCATTTCTACTTGGCTTTCCAAGTTAAGACACAACCCCATCGGCGGGCTCCCGGCAGGCCCTCCTCTGCCCGTCACGCAGGATGAGCCGACCCCCGCAAGCGCGGGGTCTTCCCGACATGTCTGTGTGCACGCGCGCTTGAGGGTGCCTGCGCGCTTGAGTGTGCCCGCGCGCTTGAGTGTGCCCGCACGCTCGAGAGTGCCCGCGCGCTTGAGGGTGCCCGCGCGCTTGAGGGTGCCCGCGCGCTTGAGTGTGCATGCACGCTCGAGTGCCCGCGCGCTCGAGTGTGCCAGCGCGCTCGAGTGTGCACGCACGCTCGAGAGTGCCTGCGCGCTTGAGTGTGCCCGCACGCTTGAGTGTGCCCGCGCGCTCGAGTGTGCCCGCGCTTGAGGGTGCCAGCGCGCTCGAGTGTGCCCGCGCGCTCGAGGGTGCACGCGCGCTCGAGAGGGCCCGCGCGCTCGAGGGTGCACGCGCGCTCGAGGGTCCCCGCGCGCTCGAGGGTGCCCGCGCGCTCGAGGGTGCCCGCGCGCTCGAGGGTGCCCGCGCGCTCGAGGGTGCCCGCGCGCTCGAGGGTGCACGCGCGCTCGAGGGTGCACGCGCGCTTGAGGGTGCACGCGCACGCGCCGATACTCGGTCTTGAACTCAGGGCCTAAGCGCTGTGCCTGAGTTCTCTGGCTCAAGGCTGCGCTCTACCACTTGAGCCACAGCTCCACTCCCGGCTTTCCGATGGTTCATTGGAGACGAGTCTGCGAGGCTTTCCTGCCGGGCTGGCTTCGAACCGCGGTCCTCAGATCGCAGCCCCCGGAGTGGCTAGGATGACAGGCGGGAGCGTCCGGCGCCCGGCTCCGGCCGAAGACCTTTGGAAGTGGGCGAGGCCCACGCTGCTCCCCCTTCAGCGTCGCCGAGGCCCCGCGGCGGGTGGCAGTCAGGGAGGGGTCGGCCCCGCCCGGCCCGCGGCCCGCCCCGCGCTGCGCCCGCCGTCAGCCGCGCCGCCTCCCGCCCCCGACGCCGCAGGGCCCGCGCCGCCAGCCCCCCCCGGCCCTAGGAGCGCGCCCGAGCCGCACGCCCGCGCCGAGCCGCGCCAGCTCCAGACGCGCGCTCGTCCCCGCCACGGCCGCCGCCACTCACCGCCACCAGCGGGAACACAGGCCCGAGTTCCACGGCGCCTGCGCGACCACGCCCCTCTGCTCCGGCCTGCCCCGTCCCGCACGCAGGCGCAGGCTTGCCCGAGGGCGGGTCTTCACGAAGACTTCCGTTTCCGCCGCGCTCTCCCTCTGGGCCGTGGCCGCCGCGTGGCCGCCGGGGCGGACCCGGGGGCCGGCTGGCGTGGAAGGGGCTCCGAGGCGAACGCACACAGGTTGGGGCGCGGCTCGAGCCGCGCGGGCCCGCTCGCCTTCCCCGCGGGTGTCCCCGGGGTGCCGCCGCAGAGCCGGGCCGGGCCGCGTGTCCCCCGCCCGCCCCGGCGCCTGCCCCGTCCCCCTGCGACCGTGGCCTGGCCGCGGTCTGGGGTGGAGACGGGCCTGCGGCCGGCCCCGCGTGCGCCCCACGTCCCGGGGCGCTGGGAGGACCGGCCGCGCTTGAAAACGTGCGCGCTGCGCGGAGGAGAGCGGGAAGACCGCGGTGACCCCAGCAAGCAAGCCGGGCGTGGCGCTGCGTAGCTGTAACATGGGAAGCCCCGTGTCCGGGGCTGGGAAGGCGGCTCGGGTACAGCGCTGCCTCGCATGCATGAGGCCCTGGGTTCCAGGCCTCGGCACCCCACAAGCAGGAAAAGCCGCAAGTGGCGCTGTGGCTCAAGTGCTAGCCTTGAGCAGAAGAGCTGAGGGACAGCGCCCAGGCCCAGAGTTCAGGCCCACGACTGACCAAAAAAAAAAAGGTGGGAGGCAAGCCCATGCAAAAACGAGTTCTTTACCTACAAGTTTACTAAAGAAAAAAGAAAAAGTGACCCAGAGATGTTAGGAGTGAGCTGAGAAAATTTGTCTAAATGTGGTGAGAATAGTTTTATGTGGTCTTAAAGATTATCAAAATACTGAACAAATATTGTACTTGGCATTTTTAGGTTAAGAATAAGAAGGAAATCAGAGCATTGAAAGGAACTGAATAAAATCAAATCTAAATAACGGGCTGGGAATGTGGCTTAGTGGTAGAGCGCTTGCCTAGCATGCATGAAGCCCTAGGTTCTACTCCTCAGTGCCACATAAACAGAAAAAGCCAGAAGTAGTGCTGCGGCTCAAGTGGTAGGGTGCTAGCCTTGAGCAAAAGAGGCTTAGGGACAGTGCCCAGGCCCTGAGTTCAAGCCCCAGGACTAGCCAAAAAAAAAAAAAATCAGTTGGGTGTCAGTGGCTCACCATAATCCTAGCTACTCAGGAGGCTGAGATCTGAGGATTGCAGTTCAAAGCCAGCCCAGGAAGGAAACTCCATGAGACTCTTATCTCCAATAAACCACCAGAAAACCAGAAGTGGCTCAAGTGGTAGTGCCCTCACCTTGAGCTGAAGAGCTGAGGGACAGTGCTCAGGCCCAGAATTCAAGCCCCACAACTCACACACACACACACAAACACACACACAAACTAAATTACTGCTTATAGTTACAAAAGAGGGTGTGCTTTGTGCTACTATAGAAAATCAACCTAAAAATAGACAAGGTTTGTCTTGGCTCACAATTTTAGAGACTCCAGCTCATAATGAGTTGTTCCTATTGCTTTTGGCAAGATGGAACATCTTGGTGGGGTGGCTGAGCAGAATCACCCACCTCACAGCTAGGAGCAAAGCAGGAAGAGAACGGGACTGGGCTGCATTGTCCTCTAATGGCCCAGGCCCACCTCCTCCAGCTTCCACCATCCCCAACAGCACCACACTGGGGAACATGCCTTTGACACATGGCCTTTGGGGGGCATTTAAGATACAAATTACAGGCAGTCCTGAAGAAGAGTCATTCCTTATGTGCCCCCATTCCCTGATAAGTGCTGCATCCCACTCTCCACTATTGGGAATGACATAAGATCTGGAAGCCAACATTGTTTTCAGTGCCAACCAACAAAATTTCAGAATGCAAGTCTTTGCTGGGTGCCAGTGACTATAATCCTAGCTACTCCAGGAGCTGAAATGGAAGGATCATGGTTCAAAGTGAGCTGGGGCAGAACAGCCCATCAGACTATCTCAAAAAAAACAAAAAACAGAACTAGGGGCATGGTTCAAGTGCCACTCAGGTGACCAAGCAAGCTGAGCAAGGTTGTGGCCCTGAGTTAAAATCCCAGGATTGCAGCAGCACATATACTAAAATTGGATCAATACAGAGAAGATTAGCATGGCCCCTGCGCAAGGATGACATGCAAATTTGTGAAGCATTCCATATTAAAAATAAATAAAAGCAAGTCTTCACAATTAATCAAAGAATTTGAGATTCATGGACAGGTCCCCTGTCCCCTGTAGCTATCCTGAGCTAGGGAGAAGCAAAATTGAGAACAAAACATCTTGCCAGGTGCTGGTGACTCATGCCTGTAATCTGAAGATTGTGGTTCAAAGCCAGCCCAGCCCATGAGACTCCTATCTCCAATTAACCACCAGAAAATGGAAAGTAAAGCTGTAGCTCAAAATGGTAGAGTACTAGCCTTGAATAAAACAGCTCAGGGACAGTGCCCAGGCCCGGAGTTCAAGCCCCATGACTGACAACAACAAAATCTTACTTTCCTGTGTTACCTGGAAAACTAAGAGGATAGTTCTGATGGTAGCTCAGAGTTCCTGGCGGGATGGTGAGAGCAAAGGAATCTCCAAAGACCTCTTCACAGATTGCTGCTATATCCTTCACAGCCTTCCCAACAAGCCTGCTTTGATAACCATGTCTCCCTGTTAATGACACAATTGGCATCTGTGCTTCTCACCTCTACAAAGACTTGTTTTTGCTCCCCAGGGTCAGAAGAAAACCTCTGATTTTCCTGGGATCCTATAGTTTCATTTCTATCAAAAAGTCATTGTTAGCCACCTCATCTCTGTCCTGGGCTCGCTCAGACCACCTCTGGTGCTTGCTCCAGGCTCTCTCCCATCCTGATGCCTCTAACCAATGAGAGTCACCCTGAGCCTGCCTCACTGCTAGGACAGAGCAGAGATGTTTGTTGATCTCTAGGTTTGGGGAGCATGTCGGCATGCCCCACAGAGCCCACAGGCCTCCGCCTCACTAGCCATCTTCACCACCTCTAAGGCAGCTGCCTGCACCCCCTCCTCCCCTGCCCCACACCCTGAAGTTCATTTGTGGGGACTATAGCCCGCCTCCCCTGGAAGCAAGTGCCACCTAGCCCATGCTTACTTTTTCTCAATCTGTTCAGAAATCAGGTGGTTAAGAAAGGCACTTTGGGGCTGGGAAGGTGGCTCAGTGGTAGAGTGCTTGCCTTGCATGCATGAGGCCCTGAATTTGATTCCTCAGCACCACATACGCAGGAAAAGCTGCAAGTGGCACTGTGACTCAAGTGGTAGAGCACTAGCCTTGAGCTGAGGGACAGCGCCCAGGCCCAGAGTTCAGACCCCGCGACCACCACCAACAACAACAAAAAAGGCACTTTGTATACCAGGGACTGGTGACTCGTGTCTGCAATCCTAACTACTTAGAAGGCTGAGGATGGGAAGCCCTAAAAGCCAGCCTGGGCAGAAAAATCCATGAGATTCTTATCTCCAATTAACCAGCAGAAAGTGGAGGTATGACTCAAGTAGTAAAGCATCAGCCTTGTATGTTTGCATTCAGCCAAGCTAGAGTAAGAGATCCTGAGTTCAAGCTTGAGCTTGGGGGGTGGGGGGTGGGGAAGGGGATGTTTCTGATGAATATGCACTGCAGGCAACACACTGAGCTGAGCTGCTCTGTGACCTCCTTCCAGGGGTCAGAACATCCAGGTCTGACCTCTAACACGCTATAGCCTACGGAGGAATGGCCTTGGCTGAGTCAGCAACCTTCTCCATTTTCTCACCTGGCAGACTAAGCCTGCCTGTGTTGTGTTGGAGAACAGATGGGAAGCTTTTGTCCTGGCCTTCGGGAGAGCAGCACGCTACAGTCAGTCCAGGGCAGCAGCGGGGACTGGGTACTGATAGGGGTACAGAGCAGCCACTACCTGACATAGCTGTCCCCCTTTGCCTGGCCCCAGGCTTGGGGCACAGGCACCATGTGTGGCTTTGCCTCTCAAGCAGAAATCACTGTACACCTGGCCGAAGAAATCTCCCTTTAATTGTGATCAAAATTAAAGTGGCATCTACACAAATGAACTTGCTTGTGGGTGAAAATGGAACATCGAAGCACAGTTTCTTATTCCTAAATCAACCACCAAATGCCTAAGCCCCGGGTGCATATGCTCGAGCACGTGCAGTGCGTTTCAACATGAACCCTTGTACACATTTTTCTGTGTGTACAGAAGCCACATCTCTTGGTTGGAACATGTACTTGGACAGCCCTGGCCTGAGGGAATACATGAGAAACTTCTGACCCCAAGACTCCCATCCCCGATTCTCAAATTCAACACCAAGTGATGGAACTCACTAATCTTGAGTAGGTAGGAAGGGGGGAAGAAAGGCTCCACCACCCGTGTGTGCAAGGTGGCTGCCGGGGGTGTGGAGGAGTGGAGCTAGGACCCTGCTACCAGCAGCCGGAGGCTGTCCTCGCTGGCTAGAGTGAGTCCTGTGGCTCTCCCGCTGCTTCATGCTGCTGCAGACCCCGGGAAAGCGGTCGTGGGGTTCCCATTGAGGGAAGCAGTCAAGATCTCACACTGTGACCCTCTTCCCCCTGACATTCCTCCTCTCCTTGAGGGCCTAGCCAATAGCGCTCAGGAAAGTATGACTTCCAAATGTGGGGGTACGCATGGCTGAACCTCACTAGACCCCTTTGTCCCCCCGCCACACACTGCATTTGGGGGGGCATTTCTGCTCATGGCTCTTGAACCTCTCAAGCATCAAACAACAAGGTAAACCATTTTCTTCCCATTAATGTTTCTGGTCTTCAGCCCCAGGTACCGGCGGCTGTTCTTTTCTGGCTGTCCATACAACATATCGTCGAAGAAGTCAGGTTCATCCTTCGCCCTAGATGGGGATGTCAGGAAGCTGAACGTAGTTCGTAGCTTGCCACACAAGTAAGCTATGGCCTCCACCTCATCTGATGGCTCCTCGTACACTGGCTGCTTCATCTCCTCATAGGCAGACAGGATTACTGCCTGAAATAAGTTGATCAAAATACAGATCATCACCAGCATGAAGGACGAGAGGAACAGCACCCCGAGGGCCCTGTTGCTGGAAAATTCCGTATTTTGAAAAGCCGAGACGCAGTAGGAGAATATGGTTTGCGTGGCATGGACCAAGTTACTGTAGTTCCATTCGTGCTGACCGAATACCAGGTAGCCAAAAGCCATGTACACAAAGAGATACACAGACACCACCAAAGCCATGTGGCAGAGGCCGGGGAGGGCGGCCTGGACAGCCCTCTGAGCCAGGCGCACGTCGTAGAAGAATCTGGAATACCTGAGTGTCTTCAGAATGGTGAGAAATAACAAGAAGGCCAACGTCACCCTGACGATGTGATCGACTTCAGAAACCGCATGGAAGGGAATGAAGTTTTCAGGATCCGCCAGGTAGAAGCGAATCATGCTGACAGCCAGGAAATGCTTCCAGAGAAACAGCACAATGAGCACGGTGAAGATGCATTTCAGAGCAAAGTTCAGCAGGTTGTACACACTTCTTATGTAGGAGGCTCTCTCTTGTGTAATGACGTAGCCCTCGTCAACGACATAGGCCAGAAAGAAAATGAGAATGGCCATGTACAGGTAGATTTCTGCTGACGTTTCTATGTTGAAATCAGCAAGTGAGAACGAGTACACGGAGAGGCTGGAGTTGACCACTCCTAACTGAGACACCTCGAACACCACAGAGATGCTACAGAGCAAGCCAGCGTCTGGATTAAAAGTGGTAAGGTCCACCATCACGGCCCACGTCCTCTCATCTAGCCAATTCTTTTCTTGGAGTTCCTTGAGCCTTAGTGAGGAATTAAACTGCTGCTTTTCTGGAAAGAAATAGAACACATATCCTCCAGATTCATAGGTGTTGAACACCCCATAGGAGTAATACGCCCATTTCTTCCCCGGAGGCTTATAAGTAAATCCATTGGTGTTCTTGTCAGTGGGCGGGTCACCCTCGCCTTTCCAATAGCTAGAATAGCTCTTGGTGTCTTCCGTGTCGATGCCATACTCGGGATGACAATGAATTTCCCCAGCAATGCCATTTTGTACCAAGATCTGGGCAGGCGGGCACTTTTTGTGGTGAGGTTTTGCTCTCACTTGCCTCATGAGTGGAAGGCCGAGGATTTTCGAGGAGCTGTCAAGAAGAAAGGTAGGCTTCTGCTCGTTGTGTAACAAAGGCAAGAGCACGCTGCTGAGCCACCTGTAGATGTCATTCAGCTTCGTCACACCTGTCAGGCCCACGGAGAAGTGGGTGCGGATGAACTGATTGTAATAGTAGCTGTCCGTGTGGTGCAGCAAGAGGATGAGGAGCAAGAGCAGAGCCAGGAAGATGAAGTGAGTGAGGATGTAGCTCAGAAACAGGAGCGCTCGCCTCTTGATCCTCTTCTTCCGCTGGAATATCCTGATCTCATCCTCCGTGAGGGGCTGGTACATGCGGGAGCCTCGGATGTGCGTGATGCGCTGGTGTAGCTGCTCCATCTCTTCGGAACTCAGCTGCACCTGTTGCAGTAGGATCTCTGTATAACGGTACTTGCTCGACCATGAAAGGTTCTTGGAATACTTGAGCCGATTGGTCCTGAAGCCTGACATCAAGAGAATCTTCATGGGCTGCACCAGAAAGATCGACTGACAGAACGAACAGACTGACGCAAAGAGCCATTCAATTGACTTGTTATACCCGTAAGTCAGGCCATAGAAGACAATGAAGAATGAAGATACGCCAGATGTGAGAAACACGAGGAACCAGGCGACGTAAACACACCACCAGGGCAGGACGATCCGGGGCTTCTTCTCAAACTTCATATCCTCCGGGAGGGAACGCTTTCTTGACAGGACGCCTCGACTGTCTTCTTCGAAACTGTCGCTCTCATCCGGTGAGTCCTGGGCCTCTGCTCGGTTCCTCCAAGGCTTTGTTTCCAAGACCTCCTTGAGAGAATCCTTTGAAAGCCTAGAAGCTCTCCTCCAGGACTCCCCGGCTTGTGTCTTGGTGGTTTCGTGCGTGTGCCATTTGTCCAAATGCTCTCTCCAGTGCTCACCTTCTCGCATTGTGAGGAAAGGTTGCTTCTGAGGTGCCACCTCCTCCAGCCTCACTTGAGGACTCCTCTGGGAGTAAGTGAAAAAAAAAGTGATTAGTAGTTGCACGGGGATTGTAATTAAGACGCTTTCGATCCCTATCATCATCGATCTGATGTACCGCCTCTCTGGCATCTCGGCTTGCTCTTGTTTGTTCAGATTAAAGAACATAATGTTACAGAGAAGAGAGCTCAGCAACATCGCTAAGCAACAGGACAGCCTCTGGAGCCTGTTGAATGGCTTAGCAACGATGCCAGCGAACACCGAGAACCACATGTGGTTTCTCCCGAGCTTCCGGTTCACGTCAATCAGGAAGAAGTCCAGCCGACTCAGAGGCTCATCTGGCCGGATCACGTGGAATGTCTGGTCCAACGTGGTGTCCACGGAGAGCCACACGCGGCACATGAACAGCCAAATGTGCCTGCTAAACACGTTCTCCACTTTGATGCGACTCAGGTACCAGCTGGGTGCCTTGCCCTCGTTGTTGTGCCACACGCGGATGGAGTGGATGTCGCCCAGGTCACTTTTCGTCGTGAGGAGGAAGGTGTTGATGCTTCCTGCATACAGAGTTGTAAAATATGGGTGGCTCAAACAGTGCACGTCGCTGCTACTCTCTGTGCCCCTAAGTTGGACAAAGACATCCGCCCTGGTCCCTGACC